GTTGGGGGGTCTGGGGGAACTCCCCCAGAAAACTTTGAATGAAATAGATGCCAGTTCCTGCGTTCTGATGTATTTTACCAAGTTATTAAACATAATTTTACCTACACAAATTAACACTTCATTTAATAATTATGTCAGAAACAGATTCTTCATTAATCTAATTCCATCATCCTGTTTTTAAACTCACTGCTACAGATGAGATAAGGTTAATTAATGTAATTCATCATATGCAATAACCAAATGGGTGCCTTTTACTTTTTTATTGTTTATTGATTTATTTTTAGTTGTAACATGTCACTGTGCCAAACAAAGATAACCCTCAACTGCATGTTAAAAACTAATATTAATAACTTTACCCAATGAACATGTGCAATACTGAATAATCAATTTAGAGGGGTGTTTCACTTTTTCTAGGTCTACCCATAAGCAAACACAGATCATCATGCAGCCTCTAGAGCATAAAATGACAGCGTTATGGTGACCAAAAAAATAAATAAAGAAAACAACAGAAACCTTTGTCTCCATTAGTCCAAAAGTTGACACCGTAAGTCAGATTATTTAGGCATATGTTCTGTACATAAATAAAACAATCACTTCCTTGTCATTACTCTTCTTCAGTGWTRGAGCTTGGTGATGTTTCAAACTGTTAAACACTGCCACCAACTGTTCAGGAGGATTATTACACCCCTAAAGGTTTTTTCACTGTAGAAGGGGTGTGTACAGCAGGGTGGCCGAATATTTGTCTGTGGTGGCCATGGCCGCCCCCGGCCACCCCTTGGCTCTGCCCCTGTTTTTGATCAGGTTTTGTCTTCTGTCACCTTCTGCTCCTCCCAAACCTGTTCCTGCTTGTCTCTGGTGGGTGTGTTAGTAATAATATAATATAATAGCAATAATGCTTTCGTCTTGTATCGCGCTTTTCTAGACACTCAAAGATGCTTTGTAAGGAAAGTGTCAACAGTCTTTGAGACTAAAGACCATGACATAGTTTTGACTCTATCTGAGACCCAAGACCATGAAGATGTGTCTCTCTGAGACTGAAGACTGCTCAGAGACATCAGTGTTTGGCAGGACCCTTTTGGGGATATGAGGGTGTTGCCCTCCAGTGGGACCCCCTTTAGGCATTGGCCTTTGGGCAGCTAGTGGGCTTGAATGTGGTTTCAGCTCACTGAAACATGAGATCATTCAGTGTTTAAGAATATGATGGCAACGTGACGCAAAGACAACAAGGAGCTTGGAACAAGAGACGGTGTGGAGTTCAACATTATGGTGTGATGTTCATGGAGTGACTCAAGAGTTCAGCGCAGCTGAGGGTTTCACCTTACCAAAGTCACAAGAAGGAAATGATACCTGTGTGATTTAACAATGTGGAGTACATTTTCAGATTTGAACAAGTGTTTCAATAATTAATATTTATCAGTGAGAAAATGTTGAAAAGATTTCAAAATGGAAAAGTTGAGATATCGTACACTGTAAAAAATACCCCATATCTACTCAATAAAAATGAGGCAACAGATTACAAGCAATGTTATTAATTAAATTTTACAATTTTTAGAATTGAGTAAATATTAATTAAATGCAACTCTTAATAGTTATTAATTTACTGTAAATAGATTTGAATAGAAAACAGTTCATAATTATTTAAAACCTACACAAAAATACTGAGTGGAATTAAAAACAATAAACTTCTCAATGTGTAAATAGCAGTGGTGGGCACCAGTCCGCTAAAGCGCAAATCTGCTAATTGCGGACCTAAACGTTGTGTTTGTGCTTTAGCGGTCTTACTTATAGAGATGTGACGTTCAGGAACGATCTGAATCTGTTGAACGGCTCTTTACAACGAACGATAGGAGCCGAATCGCTGGCAGTAACGAGCCATTTGTAGTTTTATTTATTTTATTCCTCACGTAATTTTTATTTTTTCATACTTAAATTGCTCCCGCTTTGCTTTTTCATGGAAAACATGCAGAGTTGTGGAGTACAGAAGCTCACGGTGAAAGGGGGAAGGGGGGTTTCCGCTTAACAAACACATGGTTCCACCCACGTGACGGGATGACATCATTATGTACAGCTATGTGATGACGTATTTTCCTACGTGATGACATAATACATTCAAAACCGAACGGCTCTTTTGAACAGATCTATGAAACAAACGGGTCCCCAAGATCTGGATCCCTTCAAAGAGCCATTTCTCCCATCTCCACTTACTAATTTTTATAATTCATAAGCAGATTTACGCTTTTTAAATTTAAATTGCAGTTCTGCTACTAACTAATTATATACCAGTCATCATTATCTTGAACACTGGAAGGTATGACTGTCAGGACTCACAACACGTGATCCATCCAACAGCTCCCCTCCCAGTTAAACACCAGTTTTGGGAAGGAATACGTCCTTCCTGACTGTCGCTTTGTGTCACGGTTCAGTCGGTTCTCATTTTAATAGGTCAGCTTTACAAAGTATTTTTGCTGGCAGCAATCTAAATTACTCATTTAGCTTCTGTTAAATTATAATAAACAGTGCAAAGACAATATTCAGCAGCCAGCAGGGATCCACGTTTTACAAACATTTCCCACAATGCTTTGTGTCTGCTTATAGCAGGAAAGTAATGTTTAGAACTCCCTTTCCAAGCAAAAACAGTTGTTTGTAATCCATACTAAAATTTTGTGTGTATTGATTTATTTTACCTTACAATCGGAGCTCCCCTTTTAAAAATATAAAGTTTAAACGCTGGAGCTCAATACTTGATGTAATTGGTTGAAGTAACGGGAGAACCAGTTACATTTTGATATATGATCAGCAAAAGAAACTTTTTGTCTTCTCTCCTCAAATGTTTTGTCGCTGGCAGTTCACATGTTTCATAAAGGAAAGAGAAAGTGCACTTTGACAGGAAGTGCTATTCAAATAAAAATTACCTGATTAGATTAATTTGAAATCACTCAATATTCTTTTTATTTAGCATTACATAAACATAATGTTTATGTTTTATTTAACTACAATGACTGGATTTTACTCCAAACATTTTTATTTTAAATTTAATTAAATTGTTGCCTCAAAATC